CAAGTCCTCATGCTTGAGGGGCCAACACTACCCACTGAGCCACCTCCCAGACCCTCACAGCTCATCCCAGAAGACTCTCATACAATCCACCAGCTTCCTGGACGTGAGCAGTCTGAGGGTCCCAGAGGTCACCAGGACAAGGGAAGGCTCTGGCCTCAGGCTTTGGAGCCCTGCATCTGAAGAACAGATGGGTGTGCCAGACCCAAGGGTGCCGAAGGCCGGGGCTGGGGGAGGGGAGAGAAAACACTGGAGTCCACCAAGCTCTCAGCCCACTTCCTTCCCTGGTCACTTCCTCTTCCAAGCCCTGTTGACAAAGCAGATTCCACAGGCCACACCATTTGGCAATCCCAGGGACTCTCTGCCAACTTCTGTTTGTGGCAGAGTTAGTTAACCCCAGCCTCCTGGAGTCGCCACCTGGATCCCCTTCATGACCATCACCTGATGTATGTCCAGATTTTTCTGTTTTCTTTTTTTAACTTTTTTTTTTCCATATGGGGCATGAGTGTCTTGTTTGTATGTGTATCTGTGCACCTCATGCATGCCTGTGGAGGCCAGAAAAGGGCATCAAATCCCCTGGAACCAGAGTTACAGACAGTTGTGAGCCACCGAGTGGATGCTGGGAGCCAAACTTGGGTCGCCTGGAAGAGCAGCCAGTGCTCTTAAACCACTGAGCCACCTCTCCAGCCCCTCTCTTTGTTTTGTTTTTGGAACAGGGTTATCTCTGTGTAGCCCAAACTCACAGAGCTCCACCTGGCTCTGTCTTTCAAGTGCTGAGATTAAAGTTGTGTGTCACCCGCACGCCTTTAATCCCAGCACTCGGGAGGCAGAGGCAGGTGGATCTCTGTGAATTCGAGGCCAGCCTTGGTGTACAGATCGAGTTCCAGGAATGTCTCCAAAACTACATAGAGAAACCCTGTCTCAAAAACAAAAACAAAAACAAAAACAAAAAAAAGGCTGAGATTACATATTACAAAAGAGCACATTTGTGCCAGGCTGGGTTTTTTCTTTTTTTTTGGGGGGGGGGGGCGTGGTATTTGAGACAGGCAGGATCTCATGTAGCCCAGGCTAGCCGCAAATTCACTGTGTAGCAGAGAAAGACCTCGGACAACTGAGCCTCCAGCCTCCACCTCCTAAGTATTGAGGTTACTGGTGTGTGCCATCATGCAGGGTTGAGTGTGTGTGTGGGGGGGGGGGAGGTGTGTATTTGTTTTGCTGTTTTGTGACCAAATCTCACTATGTATCCCTAGCTGACCTGGAACTCACTATGTAGACCAGGTTGGCCTCAAACTCCCAGAAATCTGCCTGCCTCTGTGTCTGGAGTGCTGGAATTGAAAGCACGCACCACCACACCCTGCCACCATTCAGGGTTTTATTCACTGTTGGCGACTGAACCCCAGGCTTCATGCACGCTAGGCCAGGACCCTACCTATTGAACTGCATCCTACCCTGGGCCCAGCTCTCTTTTTATTTTATATGTATGGGTGTTTTGCCTGCAAGTGTTTGCACCATGGGTGTGCTTGGTGTGCATGGAGGCCATTACAGACCATTGGGAGACACTATGTGATGCTGGGATCTGAACCAGGTCCTCTAAAACAGCAGCTCTCAACCTTCCTAACGCTGCGACCCTTTAATACAGTCTCTTGCTGTGGTGACCCCCCAATCATAAAATTATTTTCGTTGCTACTTCATAACTGTAATTTTGCTACTGTTATGAATCATGATGCAAATATTTTTTGGAGGGGGCTGGAAAGAGGGCTCAGCAGTTAAGACCACAGACTGCTCTTCCAGAGGACCCAAGTTCAAGTCTCAGCACCCACATGGCAGCTCATAATTGTCTGTAATTCCAGTTCCAGGGGATCCAACACCCATGACAAAACACCAATGCATATAAAATAAAAAAATTTATTAATTAAAAATATTTTGGGGTGGGGACAGCGCTGGTGCAGGCCTTTAATCCTAGCACTCGAGAGGCAGAGCCAGGCGGATCTCTGTGAGTTTCAGGACAGCCTGGTCTAGAGAGCGAGATCCAGGACAGGAACCAAAACTACACGGAGAAAGCCTGTCTGGAGAAACCAAATATATATATATATATATATATA